CCACTTCTACAGTGAGTGGCCTGATTATTCCAATGCAACTACAGTATTTGATGACTATGTGTCACTTATCATGCCATGCAAAAACCGTCAATTCCCACTCTCCTAGTTGGCGACAAACAAAATTTTGAGGATATTTTGAACCGGGTGGCAGAACCCTGTGTCGGAAATTGCATCCGTAGACCTCTCCATAGATTCTGGGCGGCCATAGCCCCCACCCCCATCCACTTTGCGCTCCCATTGGGTAACATCGCCATCCAACCCTGCCAATGACATTGCTCTTTCATTGGTGGGGACCGTAGAGTAAATCTCTTGTTATGTGGTGATATTAACAACCAAAAAAATAAGAACATCAATGAGGAAGAAATATTTCTTGGAAGTGTCTTTTGGCAAAATATTAAGTCAGTCTTTTATAGTTTCAGCATATGATCCCTGTTTCCTATAATATTGTACCCAGCAGGCCATGGCCACTGTACACCCAATAGTTTTACAGGTCCATGAAGTATAACACATTGCTTGCAACTTGGAGATTACCTTTGGCCTGTTGGATCAGCTCTAAAACCAGGGCAATATACTATTATAATGAATTTACCTGGTTTATATACTGGTTGATTGACATAATACTGTACATCATTCCAACAATTATCAATATAGTACCTGTCTCTTATACACATCTAGATGTGTATAAGAGACAGTTGTATACACTGGGCCTACAGTTTATAGTCCTTATCCGAGAAGATTTGTTCTACCACCAGAACCATAGGTCCTATATGATTTGATCTTGCAAGTGAAGTGTTTTAGGCTTTGCCAGACAAACATGTAGGTCAAATAAAGAGAAATGGATCAAACTTTGCTTTAATTTTTAAATTTAAATATGTAAATAATAATTGTCGACTTATATAGCGCATATTGCAGACTAACCTCTATGCGCTTTACATTATTTCCCCCGGTCACTGGATCAAACACATGTAAGACCTGTCTCTTATACACATCTAGATGTGTATAAGAGACAGCCAATTGTCTTTTGATTCATTTTTAGTATATACTTTTGTTAATTCAATACAGCTATATGTTTATATACTTGAACTTATAGGAAATTAGTTTTTTGCCAGATTGAATTATTTCTAATGTAAAGATTCATACATTTATTTCCATCATATTTTAGTTTCTATTTTCCCAAATAATTGTAATTTTCGCTTTACCAAAACATGAGCATCTAGTTACAAGTATTTTTTTACCATGTACGAACAACATGCATTAGGGTGGTAAATATACCGGGTTAGTTTTATTTTAATATTAATTCTATAAGTATACAAAATATTTGAATCAAATATTTAAAAAAAAATCAGATTGGAAGACAAGTAATTCGTATTATCTAAAATGGATTATTCTGTATTGGTTTTTTGCTTTGATAACTGATAGAGTGAAGGTGTTTTGTTTTTTGTGACATAAGTCTGGTACATGATCAACTTGTGTATAGTATTTGTACAGGCCATTGTTGCAAGCCAACAGTTCAATAAATACATTCAGCCAGCATTAGTTATGAAGTTAATGTACTCTTTTTTTGCTCATAATGTTGTTTTTACATAGTTTAATTTTATAAATCAAAAACTGAAGATAGGGTTCGGCAAGAGTGAAAAAAATGGACAGAAACCTGGTAATACATTATTTCAACAATATCAATACTCCCCTGGTTCTTAACAGGTGGCCTGCGGAGCATTTTAGTCTGGCCTGCGATAAGAATTAAATAATAAAAGATATAGAAAACAAACTAAAAGTAATAATCAGTAAAGATTAGGACTGCAATGGGCAATGTGCAATAACAAGTTTTTACTGAATCAACTTGGGGTATTTCAAAGCAGTGCCACCAAGAAAGGGGGCAGGGGGACAAGTTCCCTGGGACCCAAGCTTACCAGGGCTCATAGAAATTGCAAGTAGCTTTTTTTTTCAAAAATAATTACTATCATGGGTCCTCAATTTCATGGGTCTCCTAAAACAGTAGATGTTTGCGCTAGTAACTGGGACCCACACCAGCCCTTGCCTCTGTTACAGTTCTCCTCTTGGCGGCCCTGTTTCAAAGTGATGATTGCAGGACACTGTATAATAATAATAATAGTGTAGTTTTACAGTATATAGCGCACAAATCCATCTAATGTAAGATGCTCAGGGCGCTTGAAATGTGGACTAGTGACTCAATCAATGACTTTCTTCGCCCCTAAGGGTCCCTTCGTGTCTGTGCTACCCGGTAACCCGGTACCAGCAACTCTCGTTGTCCACCACAGGGGCTGTCTGTTCCAGTACACCAGGGTATCCCCCTACTCGTCTCGAAGGATGTACAGGGTTCTTTATAGTGCACACGAGCCATTGTATACACTGGGCCTACAGTTTATAGTCCTTATCCGAGAAGATTTGTTCTACCACCAGAACCATAGGTCCTATATGATTTGATCTTGCAAGTGAAGTGTTTTAGGCTTTGCCAGACAAACATGTAGGTCAAATAAAGAGAAATGGATCAAACTTTGCTTTAATTTTTAAATTTAAATATGTAAATAATAATTGTCGACTTATATAGCGCATATTGCAGACTAACCTCTATGCGCTTTACATTATTTCCCCCGGTCACTGGATCAAACACATGTAAGACAATACTCATGACCCTTAATGTTGCAATTGTAATCAGCGCATGGTTGTGTTTGAACCTACCAGGTACCCACTTGTACTCTTGGGTGGAGAGAGACAACCGTAAAGTGCCTTGCCCAGGGACACAGCGACTTGCACAGCATGAGTTTCGAATTCCCTACCTAAAGGTTGAGAGTCCAAGCTACAACCAATGCGCCAACCACTTCTACAGTGAGTGGCCTGATTATTCCAATGCAACTACAGTATTTGATGACTATGTGTCACTTATCATGCCATGCAAAAACCGTCAATTCCCACTCTCCTAGTTGGCGACAAACAAAATTTTGAGGATATTTTGAACCGGGTGGCAGAACCCTGTGTCGGAAATTGCATCCGTAGACCTCTCCATAGATTCTGGGCGGCCATAGCCCCCACCCCCATCCACTTTGCGCTCCCATTGGGTAACATCGCCATCCAACCCTGCCAATGACATTGCTCTTTCATTGGTGGGGACCGTAGAGTAAATCTCTTGTTATGTGGTGATATTAACAACCAAAAAAATAAGAACATCAATGAGGAAGAAATATTTCTTGGAAGTGTCTTTTGGCAAAATATTAAGTCAGTCTTTTATAGTTTCAGCATATGATCCCTGTTTCCTATAATATTGTACCCAGCAGGCCATGGCCACTGTACACCCAATAGTTTTACAGGTCCATGAAGTATAACACATTGCTTGCAACTTGGAGATTACCTTTGGCCTGTTGGATCAGCTCTAAAACCAGGGCAATATACTATTATAATGAATTTACCTGGTTTATATACTGGTTGATTGACATAATACTGTACATCATTCCAACAATTATCAATATAGTACAGTATTCTGTAGTGATATATTCAAACACTGTTTTATTTGCACTATAAACATTTTTAATTATTATTCTAATGTAAACCAAATATTCAATTGATTGACCATGTCATATTAATATTATACATAACATCAACTAGTTTACATATATAAGATCGGGGGGGGGGGGGGCTTGACCAGACCGATGGGGGCTTAAGCCCCCTTGCCCACCCCCCGCTGGCGCCGCCACTGCACTGACTTAAAGTGACTTTCAAAGTTGCCGTCCCCGGCGTTGTCAGTGACGTCGTATGATCTGTGTGCGATTTTTGCCAACTAACCCCTAAGTAAAAAATAGTTGAGCAATGTAGTACCTTGGAAATCAACCCAGAAACCCGGTAGTTTGTTGAATTTTTATTGTTAGCTTCCCTTCGCTGCCAAAAATAGTTTTTTTGGCAGTTGCGTCCCCGTTGACGTCGTGAGGGCATGGTGAAGGCTGGTTATGATTTGGTGGCCCATCGATTGAGTATTTTTATAGCTTATGGTGATATAACTTTAATAATTAGACAAAGACCCTGAAATTCTACCCATACATTTAAATTACTGTAGAAAACTAGATGACGTCGGTACGATGTTTCTTTACGACATTAGTTCGTCATTAGAAGTTATTTAATATAACTTTATTAAAACGTAATTCCAATGTGGCACAACATAAAACAAATTATAAACATGAAAGTGTACGATGATAAATACGGTGAAAATGAAGCTAAATTGTCATAGAAGTCTAAAACGCGAAAGAAGAACAACATTTAATAATAATAATAATAATAATAATAATAATAATAATAATAATAATAATAATAATAATAATAATAATAATAATAATAGTATAACTTAAAAAATTCAATAGTAAAAAAATTTGGGGAATCGTCGTCGGACTACGCATAAAGAGGGTCCAGACGGACCGAAAATTTGCGTCATATACAGTAAGTGTTGAATGTATGTATATATATACCTATATGCTATATATGTTTTTACACTGCTGTCAGTACTCCATACTTAGAGTCGAAATGGCTCCATTTCGTGTTAAATCTCATAAAAAAAAAAATTAATAATAATAAATAATTCTTTATGGATATGTAATTTAAAAAAACCGGTGCACCGGTTTTTTTATTTTTTTTTATTTTATTTTTTTTTTTTGCCACCGCGGTGGCGCTTCAGTCTTGGCATTGATTTGCTCCTTTGCCGTTTTGGTCTATACCTATTGCCGTTTAATTTTTGGTAGGCAGTGACATTGCCGTTTTGGTCTGTTACCGTTTTGGTACTTATCATTGACGGTTTGGTTTGTTTGCCTAGGCGTATCCAACTGTAGCATCACTCGTGGGCTTGGAATACGTCATCAGAACCTTCGATACTGATTGGTCACTTCGATGAGTGCATCGCGAAAATTTATGGTCGCAAAATAATGCTGAAAGCTAGCTCGAGGGCATGAAGCTGTATGAAGCGTGGTGACGTACGTTATTTCGCGTACACTAATTTTAGTGAAGTCGTGAAAATTTCACAGAGAGAGACAGACAAGTGGCGCGAGAGCTGAAATCGTTGTTGCTCTGCTGTGTTTTGTTTGTGTGTCATGTCTAGCTCAGTTCATATCTGTAAAAATCTTTTGCAACATTTGGCTCTGTATTTTGTAAAACAGTGAGTAGGCCTAGAGTATTGGTACTGTAGGCACAATCTGGTCCACTTTTTGGCATGTTTTGTTGATTACATTGGCTAGGCTAGGCCTTTCTTTCCGAGGTAGGCTAGCCTAGCTGGACTGTGAAGTGGGATTCTCTGACCAGCGAGATAGTAGGACTAGCTCTAAGCCTAATCCCTCTTTTGTCACTTCATACAGTAATTAGCCACCCATTAATAGGGCGTAGGCCTAGTCAGATAGCGAGGAATGCCACCCGTTGTTTCGGTCACGAACCAGTTCGACTGAAATGTATATAACGACCGATATAGCCTATATATAATATCCAGTAAATCAAGAAATTAGGCCAGGGCCTAGTGCCTAGGCCTAAGAAGTGTACTATTGGTTGTCTTAGTACCTGTATTAAATAAATTTCATCTTACATTGCAATATTTCGGTGATGATATGGCCTAAACCCTATGCTAGCCCCTAGGGCCTACTCTCTACTAAATAAAGAATGTGGATGTAAGCTTTTTTATTACGCCGTTGCTAGAGATACGGTACCGTATCGGAACTTCCGATTGCTAAAGGTACGGTAAATGATATTACGTCATGATTAGCCAATAGAAACACAGATTCATGTGTGACGTCATTCAGTGCACTACTGCTGCAAGAGTAGTGAGTGTGTGTTTCAGCGTGACCACTGCTTGGGTATTTACCCAAGATCTTGGGTATTTTGACTTGGGTTCTTGGGTATTCCATTCAAATCCTTGGGTATTTTATTTTTTCTAAGAAAATTAAATATTTTTGTCATAGAGGAAGAATTAAGAAGTAACAAAGACTATATTTCAGTCCATTATTCAAGCTTAGAGAAAATAGAACACTGTTCTATTTTCTCTATGATTCAAGTAAGCAAAACTCAACGAAGTGCACATAACATTGTTAATTGCTATAAACATGGGTTCAGAATTGTTTTATTTGGGATTTGCATTGCCATTGATCTTACCTAATTAATGCATTACATAATAAAACTTGATCATTGATCTACTGATAACACTGGCCGACTGAGGGTGTATTTTTCTATCCGTATTATCACCTCATGAATAATTATTAATTTTAATAATTAACACAAACAATTAAAATAAAAAATTGGTTTATAAATTGAACTAAAAGGAAAACTATACATGTGAAAAACAAGTATTTTTCAAATTTTAATGCATTTTCAGGAAGTTTGGGTAATTTTGGGCAATTTTTGCTGAATCTT